AGAAGTACACGTGCGCGCGCATGAAGGATGGGATACCACGCAGGTCTACATTCTGAACACGGGGGGGGCGTTCACGGCGCACCTACGGCACAGACGCCACGTGCGCAGCATTGCACGCGCGCCCGCCCCCTCGAACGCCTGCATCGCATGTGGACGGGTTTTCGCCGCGCAGGTCACTGCGAGTAGACGCCTGCAAAGTGACTTTCGTCTAGGGCGGTGCGATCCGAGAGGGGCTTCTTCGATGGCAGAGTTTCGCGAGTCGAATTCCTGCGAGTGCCCTCTTTGCGACTTCGAGGGGGCGAACTACCCCGAGTTCCGTAAGCATGTGGTCCAGCGCCTGCCTGTTCCCGTCCTGCTGCCGAACCTGAAGCGCATTGCTGGGGGGCCGACTGCCAGGTGCACTTCGACTCATGCCTGGGGGCGCGGCAGCGGCGGCCACGCCGGCAGACCTCGACGCGCCGGACTGGGTGGCGCCTCCAGCGAAGCGGGCCGCGGCCCAAGGATCGGCGGCGCAGGGCCAGCGAGGCAGGAAGGACAAGGGCCAGCAGCAGGACACAATGGGTAACAGCACGGCGAAGTTGGCACTGGACCTGGAGAGGAGATTGGCCATGCTGGAGGCAGCGGTCCATCGATCTTATTTCGTGGAGGAAGGGGCCGGCCCCCTCGGCCACGCGCGCGTCGCGGCCAACAGACTGCACGACCACAATTCGAAGGCCATGAAGGAGCGGCAGACAGCAGGCGAGATGATCGATGAGACGGCTCGAGGCGCTCCGCAGGTGGCATTGTTCGCGGTCATCACCCAGCGCGCCGTCGGCTTGCTCGCAGAGGGCGGAGAGGCGCCCAACCCCGACGGCCACGCCGCCGTGATGGAGTTTTGGACCAATATCGTGCTCACACAGTCTCCACAACAGTTGGGCCTCTTCGCGCCACAGTGCCGCTACAAGCGCGCGAGGCAGACAAAGGAGGGCGAGGGCGAGAGCACGCAGGAGAAGCGCGGAGTTCTTTCGGCGGCCCTCAACGTTCAGGACATGGAGGCGGCGCGCGCCATGGCTGATGTTCCAGGAAAACCCGGCGAGGGCCGACGGGCGCGATCCGATCCCAGGAGCGGCGCCCAGAGGTCAGACGGAGAGGCGGCTGGTAACTCAGGCGAACTGAACTCGGAGATGGGGTTCGGAGGCCCAGTGAATGAGCGCGACCAGCATTCTTTTTCCATGCCTGACGGCGCCATAGCTCCCCGCCCGCACCCAGACACCTCCTCCAGTCCCCTTGCTAGTTCGGCGCGTCTCAGAGAATTGATTCAGAGAGGGGCCGCGCCGAGGGGTGTCTTGATGCGAACCTCGCTCGCGATCCCATCGCGCGCGCACCCCGGGCTGCCGAGTACGCCAGTTCTGGTGCTGCCGCAGGCGGCGGCGGCTCCAGCTAGCGTTTGAGGGAGGGGGCGCGGGCGGGGCCGCGGTCGTCGCGACGGTCGCGGGCGGGGGGGGGGGGTAGGAAGAGGTTCTGCGAGCGTGCTACCTCGGACAGATGGCATCCCCGCCCATCACCCCCCCCCCCTCTTTCCCCCCCAATTCATTGGCGGGCGAGACGTCCTCCGCCCCCTCCTCTTCCCCCACCCATTCGCCCCTCTTTCCCCCCTCCTGCACCCACCGCCCCCATTCTCCCTTCCCCTCTTTCTATTCCCCCTCCATCTGCTTCTTTTTCTATCCTCCTCCTTCTCGTCCTCCCCCCTCCTCTACCTCTTCCTCTGCTCCTTTTCATTTTCTCCTCCTCTTCCTCCCCATCCAACTCCCCTCCATCTTCTTCCTCCTCCTCCTCCCTCCTTCCCCCTCTCTCTTCCTCCCTCTTCCTCCCTCCGCCCCCTCCTCTTCTCCTTCCTCCCTCCTCCCTCTACCGTCCCTCTTTCCTCCCTCCTTCTCGATCGCTTCTCGCCCTTCTCGTCTCCGCCTCTTACCCTGCCGCCCATCGCTAACCCCCCCCCCCCCCCCCCCCCCCCGCCTTGCTCACCCCCCCTTCCGTCCCCCCCCCCCCCCCCCGCCTTGCTCACCCCCCCTTCCGTCCTCCCTCGTTGCCCCCCTTTGATACTTCCTCGCCTTTTACTCGAGACTGGGGCCCTCGTTTCGGCATCGCCCCTGGGGGGCTTCCAAGAGTCCCTGTTGAGCCGATAATTATTAAATAACTATCATTGTTGGAAGGCACAGATAATGTGGAGGAGGAAAACAAGGAGGACGGGCGACTTCCAGGGACTCCAAGGATCGAGGGTCGGTGGATTGACTTCAAGGATTCCTTGGGGGGCGCGGGGGCGCAGGTGGTGGATGCGAGCACGGGGGCGGCAGCGCCTGGGGGCGTGAACGTGCAGGGCCACGCGCCGAGGCCGCAGGATGGTGGCGCAACAAGTCGAACGAGGAGTAAGTACCACCTCGTCCTCGGAGGTGCTGCGACCACAACTACTCCTTCCTCCCCCTCCTCTTCCTCCTCCTCCGCCACCCACCTCCTCCATCCTCCTCCTCCTCCTCTCCTTCTTCCTCTCCCTAACTTTCCTTTCCCATCTTCGCCCGGTCCTTCTCCTCCGAGATGGGGCGCGCGGGGGGCGATTGCGGTGGCGATGTGCCGCCCGAGCTTTGGATGTCGAAGATCCTCGGGGGGCGTGGTGGCCATGCTTTCGCGGGCGGGGGATCTGGGCGAGGGAATGCCGGGCCTGGCGCGCTGGGCAAATTTCCAATGATGGGGCGCGGCGCCCAGAAGGATGCGTTTGACACGTGGGAGAATTGCGCGTGATAGCACATGGTTGTAGTTGTTCTATATTGATTAATATACCATTGTTATCGTTGGACCCCGCAGGCGGCCTGGCGCTCTCGCCTCGAGGTTGGCTACGTTTGCATTGAAAAGGGGGCTCGCGATCGAACGGTCTGGGGGGGGCGCCGAAACGGGGCCCCTGGCAACAGCAGCGCTCCCGCTCGAGACGTCCTCCTTTTTTACTCAGGGCCAGTGCTCTTGCTCGCCGCCGAAAGCCGCCGCCCCAACAAAACCAGCGCTCCCGGTCGAGACTTCCCCCCGTTTTACCCTGGATTGGCGCGTTACGCTTTCTCTCAGCGGCGCCGCCCCCAGCGGCGTCGAAACTCCCGCTCGACTTTTCCCCTTTCTTACTCACGGCGGCGCCCCCCCTCCCAGCGCTCCCGCCCGAGACTGCCTCCCGCTTTACGGTGGACTGGCGCCCTGCTCTTTTTTGAATTGGCGCCGCTCCCGGCAACAACGACGCTCCAACTCGAGGATTTCATTTTCCTCGCGACGGTGCTCCCCTCGCCGCCGACAGCGCCCGTCCCGACAAAACCACGGTTCCCGCTCGATGTGTCCCTACTTACTCAAGGCGGCGTTCCTCCTCGCCGCCGACAGCCGCGGGCCCAACAAAACCAGCGCTCCCGCTCGATACTCCGTCTTGTTTTACACTGGGCTACCGCCCCACTCTCTTCAGCATTGGCGCCGTTCCCAGCAACAACAGCGGCCCTGCTCGAGACTTCCCCTTTCTATTCAGCGCCAGGTCCTTGCCTCGCCGCCGACAACCCCCGTCCCCACAATGGCAATCCTGTCGCTCGATATTTCGTTGTGTTTTATCCTTGGCTGGGGTTCCACTGGCGGTTTCCCATCGGCGCAGCAACGCGCGGGCATGCGTTGTCGAGGCAGGATCTGTCGGAATTCCTTGGGGGGGGGGTGCAAGACCTCATTGGGCAGGATATCAGGGAATAGGAAGAAACGACCCCGCTATCAAACAATAGTCCTCCATGATGGGGATGATGGTTGCCTGCTTCGTGTGGAAACATCGCGCATGAGGGTCACAGTATTGTTGTTGTTGCTGCTGTTCGTGTTCGTGTCGTGTTCGTGTTGTTGTTGCTGTTGCTGTTGCTGCTGATGTTGATTATCCATGTCTTGAGTAATTATGATTGATGTCTGGAAACGGTTCCGCGCGCTCTCGCCTCGACGCCGGCTGCAATTCCTCTGACATCGGGGCTCCCGTTCGAGCGCGGGTTTGATTGTAAATGTGTGCCCTTGTAGGCCAGCCTACGACGACAACGGCTCCCGGTCGACACGTCCTCGCAAATTTACCTCGATACACCCTGGCCAGAGGCCCCCGAACTCAGGAACGGCGCTTTCGGTCGAGACTTCCTCGCAAGTCAGTCAAGTTGGTGGAGGCTTAGCCCCGACGACAAGGGATCTCGTTCGATACTTCCTCACGGTTTACTCCGAAAGGCCCTGGCCAAAGACGCCCCCGAACTCAGCAACGTCGTTTTCGCGTGATATCTCCTCGTAGTTCAGTCGAGTTGGCGGAGACCCAGCGACGATGACAAGGGCTCCCCGCTCCCTCCGCTCGACTTCGAGCGAGGGGAGAAGTGAGAAGGGGCGGGCCTTCTCAGAAGGCTCGGAAGCCCCTCGGCTTTCTAATAAGTTTTCTCAGCCTTCCCCGAAAACGCAGAAAACGTCTCAGATGGCCCGGAGGCTTCTGAGAAGTCCCCCTCGTTCGCAGCCGATCCGCGTCCCCGCCCCCGTCCCCCGTCCTCCCCCGCCACGCCCCTCCTCCCTGAGGGACGAGGCCTTCCGCCATCGAGCAGCAAACACCACGACCTCCTCGGGCCCTCCTCCCCGCCCGCCGCCTCCCCCGCGCCACGCCCCCCCCCCCCGCTGCAGGCCAAGGCACGCTTGAAAGTGTTGGAGAGCATTTCAGACAGCATCCGAGCCTCCGAGCAAATCAGAAAATGTTTCGGGCCCTTCGATCGCCTCCGAACGCGTTCGGAAAAAGATCCGGACCCGCCTGACGGCCATCCGAAGATTGTCCCGACGGCCTCACAGTAGACCGCCGACGGTTGTCCGAACAAAACCGTTTCGAACACTGTTATGTCGGCAGCGAAGGCGATCGCACGTTATGTTCGGAAAGCCGTCGGGCCGCGCCGGATCCGATCCGAAAACACGAAGCCCAACAGCCTGCCGACGACAGCCGAGTTCCGCGCGAGGAGGAGTTTTGCCTGACGGTGCTAGAGCACGGCGGCGTCGGCGCGCTCATGGCGGCGTTCGACACCGCCTCCAGGGGTGTAGGCCCGCCAGCGCCACCGCCGTCGCCATCGTCGCAGTCGCCGTCGTCGTCGCCGCCGCCGCCACCGCCGTCGTCGTCCTCGTTGTTTTCTCCTGTTGCTTTGCCTACTATTGCGAAGGCCTTACGGCTGGCGCCGCCGACTCTGAGGTTGGGGAGGAGGGCGCGGAGCATGGGGAGGAAAATGAAGAGGGGGACAGGAGGAAGAGGCGGATGAGGAGGAGTAGGAACACAGGGGGGGAATGAATAGGAGGAGAGTGAGGCGAGCAGGGTCTCGGGGGGGCACGAAGGAAGGGCAGGGGCGAGTAGAGCGTGGCGATCAGGAGGAGGAGAAGGAGGGAGATAATGGCGAGGATGTTGACGATGTTGACGACGACGCCGGTTGCCCATCAGGACCATTCGGAGCGTCTTGGTGTCCTAGGGCGACTTCCAGGCTTCGCTCGCTGTTCTGAAGCTGGGTTCGGCATCTTGGGCATCTGGGAGGCCACGGAGGTGTACTTAGATTTAGACGGCGCTGGCCGCGGGACCTGGGCCAAGGCCGGGGCCGGAGCGGGCCGGGGGCCAGGGCCAGGGCCGGGGCCGGGGCTGGGGCTGGGGCCGCGGGGCCGGGGCCAGGGCCGGGCCCGGGCCGGCCGGGGCCATGGCCGGGGCCAGGGCCGGGGCCGCGGCCTGGACGTGGTCTGGGGCCGGGGCCGGCGGGGCGCGGGAGCCGCCGGCCTGGGCCGGGGCCAAAGCCCATGAGCTTCCGATCTGCGTTAATTAGCGAACCATCGTTAATGAAGGAGGACGCGGGGATAAATATCTACTAGTTAGTCGTGTCAGCCTTAACTAGCGAGTGCCAAGCGCTAGGTTCAATGAAGGCGCGCGAATTATCACGTGTACGCGCTAATCATAGCTTCTTGAATTCGCGAATAGTACGCGTTCATTAATTAGCGCGTGCGTTTTACTGCGGACGGCGTCGCTCGGGATGTGCAGCGCTATGGAATTGGGCCGGAGCTTATGATCTATAAACTACTTTGCGCATGCGCACAAAGCGTCACAAGTCCAGCGAAGGGAAAGAAATACAAGAAGAGTTGAGAAGGATAGCGAGAGAGAGGGATATACGTACATTTATATATATACACAAACATACATAAATAAAAAGAGAGCTTGATATAACCGAGAGAGAGAGGGATGGAGAGAGAGAGAGAGAGAGAGAACAACCAAAAAACGATGATAATTCGCAACCGCCTTCACAGGCGACTCTTCGTTTTATGTTTTTCCGCAACAGCGCTGCAACAGGCGAACAGGAGGTTTTGTGCGGAACCTGTCCAATACATTGGCAGAGAAGGCCTTTCTGTTCATCGGGGCGCCGCGCCTCCGTGAGATGCTGCCGGCGGTCGGTCCAAAATCTCTGTCGCGGTAAGTCAAATTAGCTTTCGAGTCAGAGTCCTCGGTGCTTTGCACGAAACGATGCAAGTTCGGTTTGCACCTGAAGACAGCAGGGTACCGCTGTGCGAGTGCGTCGTAGAGGAGCGCGAAGCGCTTGCCGTGCGTCGACATGGCGCCCCTCCTGAAAATAACACTTGTCCGCAAAGCCTCGTGACAGTTGTGGGGGTGGTTCGTCCCTGCGAGGATGGTTTACTCCAGCTCGTTACCACCGCTCAGCAGTGTTTGTTGCATTCCTCCCACGCCCGCCCCCCCAGAGACCTGCGCGCGCCAGCCGTGGCCCGAAGTTTCGGGGCGCTCCTCCTGCTTTTCTTCTTGATCATGAGGAGCGTCAGCTCGCGGGGCCTGTCGCCCGTCTTGTTTTTGTCGTAGTAGGCTTGAATTGGCGACCGCGTATTGCCCAGACGTTCGGATCGAATCCTGCCGCCATAATACTTTGCATCGCTTAACAAGAACCACATCACTGACCCGAACCAATCCAAAGCAACGCCCTGGCCCACACAGCGCAACCAACCCATTCGAAACGCGGAGAGGTCATCCACGAAGGGCGCCGACAACAATGGCGATGGCGCGCAGACATTGCGCATGCTTCGATGAATTAATTCAGATTTGGGCAGCCGCGCACCCCGCCGCGGAGCGCCCCCCCCCCCCGCGCGCCTCCAACCTCGACTGGGGACAAATGTACGTCGCCGGCCGCCCCGCATCATGCACCGCCCCCGCCCGGCCCGCGCCATTTTTTCAGCAAAAAATGAAAGAGTGGCAGGGGGGGGGGGGGGGCGGCGGCGGGGGGGGGGGGGGGGAACTCGCATTCAAATCGCGAGATGCAGCGCCTGATCGGGCACGCGCGCGCGCGCCGCCAGCAGCGGCCGCCAGCCCCGCTCCAAGCAGGGGGCCCGAAAGTGCATTTGTAGTTTGCCCAGTGTCCTCTGACGCCCACAGGGGCACCTTGGAATCTCAACGGCTTGTTGGAGCGACGTTGGCGATGCGAATCTGTGGCCTGCCGGGCGGCGCCGCCGTGCCGACGCGGCGGAAATGCCCCGCGTGTCATTGCTGAAAGCGACCACCGCGCGATCTCCACGCAGTCGTTGCATGCGTTTGAGCTCGCGCGGGGCCTCGGAAAAAGCCGCCACAAAAACCCGCAAACTAGAACTGTCACCACTCAGCCCAGGCAAGTTCACCTGAACGAGTTCGATTGAATCGCTCCTGTCGAAATTGTTGGGCGCGCCATCCGCCTAGATGCCAGTGGGCAGACGGCGCGGCGCGCCAGTCGCCGCCCGGCATCACAACATATGGTTTTTGCTTCGACGCCCAATCCTTCCGCGTCGGAGAATTTCAAGCCATCGGAATGCGCGCGCATGCCCGAGAACATCTCGTGGGGGAACAGACACATATCTGCCCGCACTTCTCTGCTCCGTTTCGGATTCCACGTTCTCGCGCTCGCCGCGCGCGCTGGGGGCCCCTTGCGCGCCTTCAAGAAATTCCTTCGCAGATCTCCGGCAGCGTTCCTGCCCCCCCCCCGCGCCGCGCCGCGGCAGCGTTGAAATCGCCGAACCGATCGGGGGGCAACTCTTTCAGCGGGGCCAGGAAGTTATGTCCGAGTTCTCGTGCTGATTGTCTGTTCTCGAGAATTGAATCCCTGCTGGCGCCGCGCAGGCGCTTCGACGGGGGGCCGCCGCCCTGCCTCGCCCGCGGTCGGCGCTTCTCCCCCTTCAGCACGGGCACCCCTCCAAGGCGGCCTGCAAAAGAATGGCGCTCGAGCGCGGGCGGCCACGGATCAGTGGAACCAGCGAGCAACTGCAGCTCTGCGAGCCAGGCATCTGGGTGGGGCGAGCGGGCGCGCCAGAGGGGGGCCTCCCTCGTCAGCTGGGGGGAAACGCTGTTCGCTCCTCCTCCTCCTGCCCCCCCCCCCCCATCTCCTCCTTCTCCATGACCTCCTCCTCTGCCTCCTCCTGCCCCTCCCCCTCCGCGTCCTCCTTCTCCATGTCCTCCTCCTCTTCCTCCCCCTCCCCCTCTTCGCAATTGCGCAGTGTGAAAATACCCCCCCACTTCCCCTGATGGCGCCCCGAAGATGGCCGACCCCCCCCCCCCCCCCCGCGTATTTTTCTACACGCAGGATTCCCGGGAAACGGGTTTTCGCATGCGTTTTTCTCTTTTCTCAAAATGCTGCTCTCGCTGAGGCGCCGGCTTCATTTCTGCCCCCGAATCGTTCCGAATCGTGCTCCCGCTGCAGCGTGGGCCTCATTTTCGGATCGGTGTTTGGCATCCGTCGTTCAGGATTGCGTTCTCGCGCCAGCGCGGGCCTCTTTCTCGCGCGCCCATCCGCCCGCCACCGCCGCGCCGCACCACCACCACCACCACCACCACCACCACCACCACACAACCACCACCAGCACCTCCACCACCACCACCACCACCACCACCACCACACCGCGCACACACGCGCGCACGCACGCACGCGCACCACCACCCACTACGCACGCGCGCGCGGAGCCACAGGCCCGCTACGACACGCGTCCGCGGATAGAGAAAATCAGCGCCATGGTAAGGGATGGGAGGGAGGGGTAGGGCGTCAGATATGACGCGAGCGCACCTAGCTTGCCGCCCCCCCCCCCCTCCCCCCCCTTCCGATGGAGGCGCGGCGGCGCCAGCAGAGCGCCCCCCGTGATTATGTTTTCGAGAGCGCCGCCTCCTGCGCAGGCGGCGTTTTTTTTGACGCGCGGGGCCGGCCCTGCTGAAATTTTTTTGGGGGCGCCCGCGGCGAGGCCGGGGCGGCCCCCCGCGGCGCGGCGGGCGGGCGTGGGCAAATCTGAAAGATATGAAGATATGAATGATCGTCGGTGAAACACTGCATCGTTCTCAAGGCGACCATAAGCAACTGGCTGATATCCAAATTATCCCGGCGACGTACCCAACCCCTGCGCAAGCGCGGGGTGGAAATAGTTCAGGATGCTCCATAAGGGGGCGATGGCGGAGCGAGGGCCGCATATGTCTGCAGACGGAATTCGGGGGACTCGCAGGGCAGTGGCTACAGGACAAGGGCTTGATAAAGCTGATGAGTTTCAACTCCTGGGCACCCCTAGCCACTTCGCAAACGGGGGTCGCATATCGCAGCCCCCGAGAGATGGCGAGGCCTAACTTGGGTCTGCGGCGAGGTCCCAGAAACAATGGCGGTTCGAGGATGATGCGATCGAGGGCCTGAGAGCAACGCGCAGGGCATGAAGGACATCTCGCGGGGGGCAAGCTGTTTCTTTCCGCTTCGCCCCCTGCGAATTATGTGCAATGCGCATTCATCTTTTACGCGGTGCAACTTTTCGCCCAGCGAGTTCCGAGCCATTTGATGCAGCATGAACGCAGACACATGCGATTGAACTACTACTCGCTAGATTTCCTAAGAGCCCCCGCTAGAACTGCCACCATCGCTGCCGCGCGGGCGGCGGGAGCATGGCCGCCCCAGTCCATGGGCCCGCTGAGCGCCCGAGTAAAAAGCGCGCGCGCATCCCGCGCGCGCGCCGCGGGCGCAACTTCCACGAACTCGCGATGGTCTCATCCAGCGCAGCTGAGCAGACGCCCGCCCAGG